CCTGTCTCAGCGTACTAACCATTATATCATCCAATGTAGAAGGTAAGGCGAAGACAATCTCTCAGACTGGAACTACTGGCTGGCTCTGCACAACTTGGTGGAATGCTGATGCATGATAAGGCAGACGTGGTTAGTGCCTTGTGGGAAAGCGTGTACAGTTCGGAGGAGCAGATGGATCATCACAGTCTGGTGAGATTGATGCAGGGGGGAGTGACGAGAGGTTCAGGCAGTTGCTTGAGGCTCAGAGGAAAGGAAAGGCAGACATTTAATCAGAATCAGAATGCTACTGGCACCATAGTTTCAGAACTCTTCACTGGCTGCCGAAGATGGGTTCAGGGCACTTATGGGAATGCCCCAAGTGCTGTGATGTCAGTTCTTGAATCAACTCAACTCAACTCAGACTATAGCTGAATGTGGACCCCTGTGAACATAAGTCATTTCACTAGCCACAAGGTTACATTAGTCCAAAACATTTTAGACAGTACAGTAACATTTAACCAGAAACTGCAGACAGCCCATGGTTTACATCCTCTTCTTCCTTCTCAGAAAAGCTTGAAAATTGTCTTGAACCACAGTTATTAGGCCAGGTCAATCTGTGAGAAATTTGTGTCAACAAATCTTATTTCTGCTAAGGACTGGACTTAAACTACCATCTTAGCAGACAAACACACTAACAACAACGGCACTTTAATGTAAAGTGTTAAAAGTTATTTGCGTATCCTTTTGCAGGACTTTGCAGAATCAACTCCAGCATTTTCTGACTGTATGTGGTTTTCACAAGGCAATTTTACATTCAATAATTTGCCAATGCTTACCGAAAGGTTGGATTTTTATACCACTGCCAAAACCAACGAAAGGCAGTCAGTAACCAAATCGCCGAAGTCACAGACAGATGTAAAAGTTAGGGAAATAAAATCTTTCCTCGAATTATCCTTCAGTGATACTAAATAGAAACTATCTCTGTTAGAGACTGAACCAAAACCACACTAAGCAGGCAAATTCACTAATCCTTTTACCATCTAATGTGAAAAGCTAAGTCTGTCCATATCAGGAGATTTTAACCTGGGCCACTGTGATCATAAATCTGTGCACTAGCCACAAGGTTACACTGACTTAAAAGCACTTTATACGCTTATCACATGTCCTGCCAGTAAGTGCAAAACATGCATAGTTCCCCATCCCACATGATCACAAGAATCATAGATCAGGTCATTGTGCTGGTCCTACTTATGTCATGTAGCCAAGCCATCTGTGTAAATGACAGGGGAAGATAAGTCTCTCCGCAGCTATGGATTTGAACCTGGATCACCACGATCTTTTGTCAATGTACTGACCAATGTTACAGGACTCTGTGCACTTATCATATGCCAGGTCAATAAGCATTGGCAGTCATAGTTTGTCATCAGACATTATCATAATCACAATCATGGATCAGGTCAGTATTTATATCCCCATTTATGACATATAGCTAAGTCTTCCATGTAAACGACACGAGAAGGAAAGTCGCCACAGCTAGGGACTTGAACCTAGCCCACTGCAATTGTACATGAGTGCACACACAACAAGGTACTATTGATTCAAAAACACTTTAGACAATCACCATCAGCTGTACTATTAGGCAATGCTCTGTTAACTAGGCTACAATTCCTCCCAATATCGGGTACCAACTGCGATGAGGGCTAGATTCATACAAATCTGGCCATCTCTATTCATTACATAGGCTAGCTTTGGCATGCAAGACACTAACCACCATGCTACCAGTTTCCAACATTATAAAGCAACACAGACAATTTAGTGACACCAATACAAGCAATATAAGGAAAAAGTTATTTTAAATATCCCTTTACAAACCCCCCCCCCCCCCCTTTCCCAAATACTTTATACAACAAGATATGTAACTACAACAGTAGTATTTCAAATAATACACAGCACATGATAATGATTACTGAAACAGGACTGGATCTGCATTTCCATGTTCTGGAATCTGGTGAGATACAGAAATTCAAAGATCAAGCGTAACTGTCCCTCAGTCACATCCTGCTCCACTTCTTCTTTAGAAGCAGAGGATGATACAGGTTACATGAACAAAGTTAGTCTTGATCTCCGTCTTGTTCTCTCTTTCTATTTCTTCATCAGAAGCTGAGAGGATCCATGGATACTTGGATTAAACAAAATGGGTTCTCCATCTTGTTTTCAATTTTTCTTTCTTCCTAAATAATGAAGATAACCTCAGAAAATCATATATCAAAAAAAAAAAATCTTTCTTTTGCAGGAAAGAGAAAAATTATTCAGGAAAACATGTTTAAAACAAAGACAGGATTTCTATATCGATCTTCATTTTTCATTTCTTCTTCAGAGATATCAGAGGATTCGCGGACAAATGAACTAAAACTAAACCAGACAGTATTTCCATCTTGTCTTCTCTTTTTGGTTATTTCTTGAGGACCAAAAATGCTTTAAAAAAATACATGGACCAAGGAAGACAATATCTTCTAATTTCTTCTTAACTCTTTCAGGGGGTTTAGCATCCCAGGCTCAAGGGGTAGTGAAGAGACTAATAGAATCGGCACATCGTGCGTTCATTGGTCTTCTAGATAGGAACATGTAAACATATGATGCGTTCCTTGGGACTCAAAGATTTAAGGAACAGAGGATGACTCAATAGTACATATTCATATCAAGCGAGATTGTACCTCCTGACACTTCTCTTGTATTTTCTTTTTTGGAGCAAAGATATGAATACATGGATCATGCAAGACTGTACCTCCTCTCTACTTTTCTCTGTTATTTCATTTTCAGGAGCAAAGCAAAAAATACATGGATCAAACAAGTCAGCATCTCCTCTACTTCTCATTTTATAAGAGTTGAGAAAAGATCACAGACATGTCATGAATTAAGAAAGAACTTGCCATCTTCTGTTTCTCCACTTTTATTTCTTTTTCAGAAATAGATACATGTATCAAGACAGTCTATCCTCCCATCTTTTCTCTTACATGCCTTTTTAAGAAAAAGTAAGACTATTTTCTTCCACTTCTTTTTCTTTTTAAAACAGGAAGATGAGCTATTCAGGAAGAGGATGACAGCGGGGATACACTGGTCAAGTAAGACAGCATCCCTTGTAATTTTCCTGTTTTTTTTTTTTTTTTTTTTCAAGTAGCATAAAATAACAAAAGAGTGCATGGATCATGCAGGACAGCCTCCTCTCAAGTGTCTCCTCTTCTTACTTTCTCTTAGATGTAGAAGGTTACATATAAAAATAAAAAGACAGCATCTTCTGTGCCTTGATTTCTTTCATTTTTTTCAGGAGCAACAGAAATACATAATCAGGCAATATGACAGAGAAATACATAATCAGGCAATACGACAGAGAATTACATAATCAGGCAATATATCATAGAAATACATAATAAGGTAATATGACATGCTTTATTGTTAATGCCTCCCTTTTTCACAATTTAATGTTACTGACTGGGAAAACAGAAAAGTGCCAATACACAATAATGGCACCTTATTTCATATATAATTCTCTGAGTCCTTTAAGAATTCATATGCGACGACTAACTTTCAAAGATGCAAGATATGTTTTGTATGTTTAAATATGTAGCCATATTTCTTTAGTATGCTGACACCAAATGTTACTTAAAATGGCATAAATATGGACAAACAGGTAATTAACAGTAGTAGATTGTTTGAGGTGTAAATAGTCAATAATAAGATGAGAGAAACATACTGTATTAAAATGTACATTTCAGCTTTAACTATAAGGTAATTCACAGGAGCACCCACATACTGTAGTGGGTGCTATGGGTTTAAAACCCAAAGAAGAATTAAATGTTCCTTGCCCTCATAACTCAAGTGGCTGACATTACTGGGTAGGACAGGAAAAACAAAATAGGTCTAAGAAAAATAATGAGATATAACTGATTATTCCAGACTACAGGTCAGACTGCAATACAACATATATTTTCAAAATCTTGAACTAATGGTTTGTTATACTTTGTATAATTTAAGATTTCAACATGAATATATGTAAAGCAGTGAGTGCTATGCAAATCATGAGGAGTTTGTTGTTTCTGCACAAGAACATTCAATGTAGGTTAATCACAAGAATGCAGTGAATGGCTGGGTCTCACCTTTATACAATGTGCTGGGCCAAGCAGGTGTTCAAAGTGATGAGATGCAAATCATCTGGCAGATACTGAATCTGCTATGACTGTCCCAGTAATGGATGGATGCAATGTTATCAATGCCATGCCCAGCACATATTGTGAAGCTGAATATGGCAAAAAGCATGACTCCTTATCCTTATCCATGCCAATGGACATCGAAGGACAACCTGGAGCTGCAAGAAATGAATATTTCCCCAGGGGCATAAGACATCCCATCAACACAGAACAGACGTTGTCAGTCAGTTTATGCTTGTGGAGATGCTAAGGAGGGGATCGGAGCATCCATGGAACTGTCCTGAACGCAGTGATGATAATCCTGATTAATCTTTCTACTGATATTCTTTAATTTTCTTATTTTTAACTCTGTCCCATCTAGTTGCTACACTTACCAACTATGTTCCAATAATTACTGCAAGTCTCATATTGTTATTAAGTTTGTTTACTTCTTAGGGCTCTATTAGTTAAAGTGCAAAATACATAATTTTTCAAGAAACACCTGCTGGGACTGAAAGACAAGCAGCAGTCAACCTGAGCTTGAATATATCTCCACAGAATTTGTCCACAAATAGAATATTTATAGGCCAGGATAATGTGTATCATGACTGTCAATCAACAGGATATCAAGTACGAATAAATAAGTCTTTTAAAAAAAAAAGCATGTTGAAATATAAACAATTTTAAGTGCAATCGTAACTTAATGTTTAAAACAGAAGAAGAGATATAAAATGGTCTGTCTAAATAAACACTGCAAAAAAAGCACAGCACACATTGGGGGAGTAAGCACAGATAAAAGTAATAAAAAGACAGTTACAAACAGATATATAATTTCAGTTAATAGAACCCTCCATGCTCTTTCATAAGATGTCTATAACATTCCTGTTCATCAGCAACAATTGCTAAACACACCCAGCAGAAGCATGTACGACATGAGGTGCAGTTCATTCTATTGCAGCCCTCAGTCTTCTCCACCCCAATCTTACACTTTGGACACCATTTTCGTTGGCTAGGATTTCCTTGAACCCATTGTTTTAACTGTCTTGCTGCTTCCTCTTCAATGGTAGACATGCGACAGGTAAGTCCGGCATGGTATGCTGTGTGACAGGATGTGCACAAGCTCACAAGACAGGAAGGACAGTTAAATTCACAGCCTGCCTCGTCTGTGGTCACCTCATAAATTACAGGACATTCTGGGGTTAAACAGAATTTGTATTTCTTTGGATTTGAAGCCACAAATGCATTTACAGACTTATCCATTAGTTTCTGTTCTGATGTCCACTGTTTCTTAATACAGAAACATAGGTCTTTCCAAACTAGAGGTTTTCCACAGTGCTCTTCAGAGCAGATGATAGGGAAAGTCTTATCTTGCACAGAGACTGTTATCTGCAGCTTCAGACAAGAGAGGCAGTAACTGTGACCACACGCTTCAAGCCGATACAGTTCTGATTTATGTTCAACTGGGCACATACAGACAACACAATCTGGCAACTCCTTCTCCAGACGTTCAACACCTGGCCGAGAAAGTGATTCTGCCAGTTCAGAAATACTGTGAACTGCGTTGTCCACACATTCCACTGGCCCAAAGATCGACAACTTCTGCTGTCTGAAATCTATGACCACGTCAGTGAGAGAAAACTGCTGGACAAGATCATCTTGCAAGCTGCCATATTTCTTGATGACCTCTTTCATCAAACCAGCTGGTTTATTCGGGCCTTTCAAAAAGACATCCACCTGTTTGCCTTCAGCGAGCTTGCTCAAATACCTGTTGATCTCAACCTGTGTCTCGTTAACTTTGGCTACAGAGCCGTAAATATGGATCTGCTCTCTGCGCTCATTGACCACAATCAACACATCAAGCATACTTTCAATTTTTTTTAGAGCTTCCTTGCCTTGTTGCTTGAGAAACTTCCTCACAAGATTATTTGCTGTACAGTCGATAACCTCACCCTCAAGTTCCCTCTGTAGCAACTCCCTTGCCTCCACCATACTCTTCACATTCTCCGATTTGATGTCAAAAGCAAAGTCGCCTTGCTTCAGTGGGCGGATATGTACATTTGTTTGCTTGAATTCCTCCAGCCCTTTAATTATTTCATCAAAACGATTTTTGCAAACATTCATGATGGCTTTGGAGACATGTAATGTTGTCTTCAGACTTGGGCTGATTTCAACTGACTGGCCCGCGACATCCAGTAATCCCTTGAGCCAGCTACAAGCTTGGAACCCATCTGTGGGATTTTCAAAATGAATAAACGCAACCTGATTGATTGCATTGCCTTTTGCTGGCAATATATTTATGTTGAATTTGTCCCTAGCATATTTTGAAAAAGACTGTGCTAGAGATTCTTTGATTGTGTTGATATCCCCCTGTGACTGAGGTTCAACCTTCTCTCTCAGAACACTGACTTGGATGTTCTGATTTAGGCTCTCATCATAATCCAAGATTTCTATTATTCTTTTCTTGATTTCCATCTCCTGTGCTTGGCCTGTCTTAAAACAAACCAGCTCATCCCCTCTTCTAGATACTTGAAGCTCGCAGGATCCACTAGGCAGATATATGCGCCGTCCAACAAGGCTAGCTTTCTCAATTGGTGGACACTTAATAAAAGCAGTGCCTGATGCTTTTATAGGTCTTCGACACCAGGACAACCTGGCTTCAAACCTGCTCACCATTTTTTTGAAATGTTTATCAATTTTCAGAACTGCACAATTTTCTTCATCTTTTCGAGTGCCATCTACTGCAGCCTGTGCCTCGGCAAATGAACTGTACCTGACAAATCCCCAGGGATCTGTTCGTTTAAACCTCACACATTCTTTTATTTCTCCAAAAGCTCTGAACTTGACTCTTATCTCCTCCTCAGTGGTAGAATGAGCTGCTTTTTTAATAAGAACTGCATTGCTTTGATCTGGCAAGAGCAAGGTCTTGACACAACCTCCTTCCCCAATCAAAACTCTAGCTCCACTGGGTTCTGTCCCCCGTTTCTCCAAGATAGAAATCTCAGTTTCTTCCAGCTGCAAGGCCCTAATTGTTTCCTGTTTTGTTGTGGCAAAACTGTCAATGGTATCCTGCACCATGGGTGATGTTGAAAAGATTTCTATTGTTCCGAGATCGTAGTCTGCTTCTACAACCACTGCTTTCATGCCAGCAGTTGCCAGTTCATCTTCCCAGACTCTCAGCTGGGAGTATCTGGCACCAACAAGTTTTCTGAAAACAGATGGTCCAACCATTTCTCTGTGAACCAACACAGACTTCAGACTTTTGACCCAGTTGATGTCAACCTTTAGTCTGCCTTCTTTGGCAGCTTCCATCACCCAATCTTCTTCAACAACAGTGATGCCCTTGATGAAATCCCTGGATGTTTTTGTAAACTCAGTATACACAATCCACTCTGGTTGTGAGTTGCTGGACAACAATGTGGATGATGGATGAAGGTGCACCTGTCTCTCTGCTACCAGGGCATAATACCCTGCTCTCACATGACCTAGATAGTGACAAACCGATGCCACATTTGCATCAAAGAGAATTTTCCGTAGTAAGACTGCAGCAGATTCATCAGAACTGAAGCTGTTTTCCAGTGTCACCCCCAGTTCATTTTTCAAAACTGAAGACACTTCTTTCACAAACTGCCTGGCAAAATTAATTGCTTTGTAATTTATTCCATTCTTCTTGCACCACATGGGTTGTTCCTTTGGGGGAATTGTAATCCAGACCTTAAACACTTCTAGCCAGGTAAAGACATCCCCATAGATGGAACCAAACAGGCTTTTACTTTTAGCTGATATCTGCACCTCAGACTCAGTCATACCTCTGTAAAACAGATTTGACCCATTTGCAATGAGAGAGGCCAGAACCACTGAATCATAAAGCAAACCTTTCTGGTTGCCATGATACACAAGAAACCCCTCCTTTGGAGACAATGGCAGCTTGGATATCCAACGGCCCACATCTGTGATGCCTTCTGAAGAAATAGCTCCCAAATCTCTGAGATTGCTCAGGGCTGATTCTATTGCCTCCACACTGGGAGCCTCAACAAAGTCATACTTTTTAACATCAACCCCAAGTTCTGCCAGCTTCAGCACACTCTGACCTAACGGAACTCTTAGAATTTCAGGTTGCGATGAAACCTCCATATTCTTGTATCCCTCCTCAGAAAACAGACGATAGCATTTCCCACTTGCTGTACGCCCAGCACGCCCTTTTCTTTGATCTGCTGAACTTTTGCTGATCACAAATGTCCCAAGCGAGCAGATATTCTTCTTGCCATCATATCGCATTTCTTTAGCAACACCAGTGTCAATTACATATTTAATTCCATCTATTGTAATTGAGGTTTCTGCACAGTTTGTAGCAAACACAATTTTTCTTATTCCTTTGTTCAGTTGCTGAAAAACTTTCCTCTGCTCATCTGGAGACAGCTGACCATGGAGCGGAAAACATTTAAAATCTTGTCTCCCTGTCATACATTTCTCAAATTCCTCACAGCAGCGTGTGATTTCCACAGGTGATGTCAAGAAGACAAGAATATCTCCTGGATCTTCATTTTTGTGGATCTCCAATGCTTTTGCAACAGCTTTCATTTCAAAGTTTTCAAATTCTGGAGAATCATCCGGTTTGGAGTAAATCACCTCCACAGGAAATGTCCTTCCAGAGACACGCAGTTCTGGGCCACTGCTGAAATATCTTATAAAGATGTCTGGATCAATGGTAGCTGAGGTTATGATCACTTTAAGGTCAGGTCTGTTTGACAGACAGGCCTTTATCATTCCCAGCAAGAGGTCTGTGTATATGCTTCTCTCGTGAGCCTCATCAACTATGATGCAAGTGTACTGTGACAATGTCGGATCTGCCAAACATTCATTCAGGAGGCAATGATCAGTTGCAAAAACAATTTTTGTTTTATCCTTTGTTATGTTCTTCTTCATTCCAGTCTTGTAACCAACCAGGTTGCCAACCCTATCAGCCATTTCTTTAGCAACACGTTCTGCTAAAGTAACTGCTGCAACTTTTCGTGGCTGGGTACACACGATCAGCCCCTGGCCGGCAAGACCAGCTTCATAGATGTACTGGGCCATTTGTGTGCTCTTCCCAGAACCCGTCTCCCCAAGAATGATCGACACCTGGTTCTGGGACACCTGCTTGACAATATCATCCCTTCTTGCGTAAATAGGAAGGGCTGCTTTCAGCCGCTCACACTCTACCCCGACACTCTGAAGCAAGTCTGTCAGAGTTTTGATTGTTACTGTTAGGGGCTCCAGTTTACTCACACTTTCTATCAACTGATCTCTTCTTAAACAAAACATCTCTCTTTGCCTCGTGACTTCCTTCAGTTTATCATAAAATGCTGCTTGTTCATAATTATTGTCTTCATCAAAATTATCACTGTCTTCTTCATTGTAAACTGATGATTCCATGACTTTCAAAGCATTATCGAGCAACTCTATCTTTGTTTCATGCAAATCCAGAACTGTCTGTGTTTTTTTCCTGATTTTCTCAATGCTCTCCTTAATCTGTTCTTGCATGTTTTCACCCTTATAACTACTATCTTTACCAACTGATTTTCCATCAGCCACAACAAAACAACGCACTTTAACACCATTAAACTCAAATGCCTGAAGCTTTTCAATGATTAGTCTGATATTTTCTTTTCTGGAAACCTCAAAATCACAAAGGGTCTGTGTTTTTGCCATACTAACTGAATTTGGTACTAACCTAATACATATAGTTTTGTCCTCAACAATACTTGAGACTAAGCCAAAAACATCTTCTTTTCTGGGAAAGATTCTGTTAATAGAAACTGAGATTTTAGTTGGATCTTCCCATGTATCATCATTAGACTTGTTTCTTTCAGCTTTGGTTTCTGCTAAAAGTTCTTCTCCAACCTTAGCTTTTGAAGGATCTATCTTTTTATTTCCCGTGGTCTTTTGCTTTTCATCCCCTAAGCTTGATTTTTCAAATATTTCTGTAACTTTCTTTCGCATGCTCCTGCGTGTGAAATCATTGGTCTTTAAAAAGCTTTTATTATGGTGCTTTCCTTTGGCAGGAGAATTGTCCTCTTTGACCTGCTTGTTCTCTTCAACTCCACAAATGTCGTATTCAACATTCACTTTCAATTCTTTTCTCAGTTTTGCGCAAAGACCTTTAACCAGACGTTTGCTCAACTGTTTGCTGGAGGCTGTAACCAAAATTGTGCCTAGACCTTGTCTCTCACTGCATATCACAGAACCCTCTACAAATTCCAGGGAAGAATTACCTGCTGACAGCTCTATGTTTTGGCTTATAACTTCTTTAAAACTGGCAATATCCTCAAAACATTTCCCTATTTGTATGCTAGCTTTTGTAACACGAGGTACAGATACCACCTCTGCATTTTCCTTACCGGTTTCAGTGTCACTCTGTTTAGGGTTTTTGACAGGTCTTTTTTTCTTGTGATTCCATTTTTTCTTTAAATTATTTGCTGTTGCCTCATTATCAGCTTTTGATTCCTCCGCATAATGACTTTCAGTTTCCTGTACTGAGCACCTCCTAGAATCTTTTAAGTTAAGATCAGGCATGCTTTGAAACTTGCTCTTATTTTTTTCCATAAACACTTTTTGCTTACGATACCTATTCCTTGTTTTCTTCTGACCTTTAGCATCTTTTGTGTCTCCTAACACTTCACTTGTACTTTCTTCACTTTCTTGAGATGATGCATCAGATGTCGTCTTTCTTTCAGGTGAAGTTTTGGCTGTTACTTTGCCCTTGAAAGCTCGTTCCACTCCTTTATCCCTCTTGAAACCTTGTTCTGTATTTTCATTTCTTGCTGAATCTCTGTGATCTGAAACTTTATCCTGATTAGGTTTGTTCACAGTCCCTCTAGCTTTCTTATCATGGTAGTGTTTCTCTTTTGAAATGTTGCCCTGCACACTATTCAACACATCCGAATCATGCTTTGATGGAGGAACATTTCTATCAACTGACCCTGGCAAAGGTTTCTCCTGGTGATATTTGTTTCGACCTTGGTAATTAGCTCGACTTTCACTCCGATCGCTATAATTACTGTCCGAAGAATTTAATCTGGATCTGTAAGCTGGATAATTTCTCTCCTGTGATTTCTTTCTTGGTCTACCTTCTCCAGTTTCCTTATTTTCTTGGCTAAACTTTGACTGTTTATCACCTCTGTCTCTGTTTCTGCCAGGAGCATGTTGCTGAAAAAGAGGTGGAGGAGATGTCACTTTATCGGGAGGTACGCTTCTATTCCCATACTGTCTGCCAGGGTTTCTTTCATTTCCAAAATGAGAGGGTCTATTTTGTTCACTGGTGTGAAGTGGTTGTGACCGATTTTGTGGGTGATAAACGTATCCTGGCCTTGAATTATCAGGCTCATTTTGTGGGCGGCCAGACTTTTGATAACAAGGTTCATTTTGTGGCTGACTTTTGAAATCATTACTTCTAAAATGAGGCTGATTTTGCTGACGGTCATTACGCTCAGTGTTTGAATTATCCCAGCGATCATCATAGTGGTCATTTCTTGGGGGTTTTCCTCTACTGCCAGGGTGATATCTGGGTTTCGATTGATGATCATCCGCATATCTGCCAGAACTGGGGTGGCGTTCTCGTGGATTTGGTCTACTGTAGTCAGGATTATGCTGAGCTGGGTCACCGCCACGTATTTCAGACTGGTGATAGCTGGCCGGAGGCTGCATATATCTGTCTTGAGGTGGCTCTTCTCTAGGAAAGTAAGTTGATGGTGGCTGTTGTCTGCCAAAGTGGCTTTGTGGTGCCTCTTGTGTGGGGAAGTGGTTGGCTGGCATCTGTGTTACCGCAACTGTTATATAAGAAGCACCTGGAGCCTGAGCTGTTGGTTGATTAGTTGGGTAAAACTGTGATGGTAACGCAGGTTGAGTGGGGAAAGGAGGTTGAGGGGGAAAATGAGTTTGTGTAGGAAATGACTGTTGATAGGGAGGAGGTTGAGATGGAGGAGGGTGGTATGGAGGATGATATGGAGGAGGAGGTGAAGGTGGTTCTCGTTGAAATCCTGAATTAAACCCAGCTTCAGAGTAATTGGGAAATGGCAAAAGATAACCTGACCTTCCTCTTTGATTCAAACCACCTCTACCCCTGTTGGGACCCCTTTTATCTTGTGACATGTTAGGACAAATAATACATTTTCACATTATTTAAAAAAAAAAAAAGGAAAATTATTGCAGACATAAGCAAGCTGTGAAGGGAATAACATTTAAAAAATATCAGAACACTGATAAAACTGTTTCCCCATTCAGATGTGAATACTTTAGTTATCTTTCCTAATTAACTACCAAGCAACTTACTATGAGATTGCTGGTTTCAGTAGATCATGTACAACTTTAAGACTACATCCTCTATCTAGTTTTTACTTTAACCCACTCTGCCTCAATTGCTACTTTAACTCTTTGAGTCCCAGGGGGTTTAGCATCACAGGCCCAAGGGGTAATCAAAAGAGATGTAAAATCTGTGCATCATGCGTTCATTAGGCCTCTAGGTAGGAATCAATGAATGTATGATGCGTTCCTTGGAACTCAGAGAGTTAAATCCTTTTTTGCAATAGTATTACTGTTTTAACTCCTTCAAACCTGAATATGTATTAGTTAAAGCAACAATTTTTCTAGGAAATATCCAGTTCAACTAGTGTCTATTTGGGATGAAAGAGTTAATTACATATACTACAACCGACAAAAATGCTTCTAACATAAAGTACAATATTATTTAGATTTATTTAAGAAGTAAAACTGTTAACATTTAATAAATGTTTTTATAAACATCTTTTGAAACAGACAAACACAAAAATTGTCATTTATGATTTGTAATCACACAAAGGAGTAATGAAAATAAAAATAATTTAAAAAACAAACAGTGAATTAAATATAAATAATTCACACAAACAGGCAATACAAATAGATATAAATTAGCTTAACTAAGGAATATGTTATGTGTAACAAACTCGATCTTGTCCACGTAAACTGTAATGTCCCAGGTATCTTCTGAATTTATGCTGCCTCAGAATGTTCCCTGCAGACAGATGGTGACAACACATCAGAGGGGTAATTCTGGGGTGACAACACATCAGAGGGGTCATTCTGGGGTAACAACACATCAGAGGGGTCATTCTGGTTTATTTAAGGTACAAATGTAAATGTGGACTGGTTTTTTTAACAAAAATATTATTAATCATAAGCTAACAGTAAGTAAAAATAGTAAAGGTCCCTTTTCCATGCCTTTAGGCGTATAGGGCATATAGGGCTAGACCTATATTTTTATACACCAATCGGCAAAAGATGGGTGATGTGGTCAGCATCACGCTGGCCGCCTTTACTTCCTGGGACTGCACTGGGTATCCACTCAAGGCTGGGTTGACCTGGGAGTCAAGGTCATTTTTTTTTTTAAATTCTGGTTCTGCCAGGGAGGGAACCCACAACCTTCCGATCCACACGCGAGTGTCTAGCGTCCCCACGGGGACTTCCATAAACTAACAGTAGACTTCATAAAATCAACTGTCTTGAAAAGAGTGTCTTACAAAACTAATAATAATTTAGGAATCACCAACTGTTTTTCAGGAACCAGAATGTTTTTGTTTTGCAAATATAGGCTAATATATTTTAAAGATGATAGGATCAACTTCGCTGCACTGGAGTTTTATTCCATATGGCTCAATCTCTCTGCAGAACAGCCAGCTATCAGCTAAGTGTGTCACACAAAACATGAACTCTCTAGCTCCATCTATGATCGCAAGGGATCTCTTTAAAAAACTGCACTTGGGAACCGAATGAGGCATTCTGTAAATCAAACCCAAAGTCTTCTGAGCTCGAGAAAAACAGCTTGACTATTCTGTAACAAAACCATGAACCTAATCAAGGTAAATTTAACAAGTCTACCAGAAAACCTTCTTCTTCTTCGTGTTCACTGGCTATAAACTCCAGTGGAATGTTCTGGTTGTTCATCCACTTCTGAAATTTGGTCTTGTTCCAGAATATGAATTTTGCATGCACATTTTTTTTAAACAGATCTGGCTTGTTTGTATGCAGACTGTAGGCTCATGCAGATGCATTCTGACTTCAAAGAAAACACCACTTAATAGCCCACTTTAACAACATGCTTTTTAAACTGGCCATGAATCTATTAATTTTCCCTCAACATGGGGCGCCGGAACCCACACTGGAATAATTTGATGATGTGACCAGGCACCTTGTATTTGTCTTCCCCGTCTTGGAAGTGTAAAATATTTTATAATAATAAAAGACTAATACACAGATTATGAGCACACCTACCTGACTTTAATGACAATTCTTTATCACAGATGTCAACAAAACATGAATGTAATTTATCTGCTGTTTCTGGCTGTTTCTGACATTCAAGTTTTAAATCTGCACATACAGTATGGACAGTTGTTTTAGGTGTCAAAGGTTGTGATGAATTTCAAATCAAATAAAACACAATGAAGATGTGAGTCTGTCCAACTGTAAGCTGATGCTCCTGCTGCAGCAGTAGGATAACCTTCTTCAAATTGTTTGTAATCTGTAAAGATAACACACATTTACTTATCAAAAATATTTTGTTATTTGTTTGTGTGTGTGTGCGTGCGTGTGTGTGTGTGTGGACATGTTATAAGACGGAATGGGCTTAAGAACTGCAAGACTGATGGAAAAAAATATTTATGAATGAGATAAATCAAGAGCACTGACCTGATCCATGACTCTGGTGATCGCATGAGATAGTGAAAGATGACCGTCTATGCTTATCAGCAGGTCACATAATGACGATGATGAATGATAATTAGTTAACTGCATGTCATCTCAAGACAGCACAAACTAACCTTAGTATTTCCTGTGTTGTTTCATATTTTCCTAGGTAATTTAACATTCAGTAGTCATTGTTTCAAAATGAACTGACACTCATACAATTGTCAAAAATCATATGGGGAACATTTATGTCAGCAAGCATGTGTGTACCCATGAAAGATGCAAACAGTGGAGAATGGATAGAGAAAGTTAGTTGCGTATCCTTTACAGGACTTTGCAGAACCAACCCCAGCATTTTTTGGTTGTTGTGGTTTTTCTAGGCACGTTTACATCCAGTAGTTTGTCATTGCTTTCTGGACGGTCAGCTTCTCGATACTACTGTCAAAACCAGCGCAAGGCCTGCAGCTGGGATCGAACCCAGCACCCCGGCCTTACGAAGCGTGTTTGCACAGATGCCGACATGGACAGAGAAGCAACAATGAAATTCATCATCTGTTTAAATCACCACTGATCATGAGGGCTAATAGGCAGCAATGGTTGGGGCAAATATCTGCAACATAAACCTCAAGGGCTCTGAATACTGAAGAAAAACAACAGCATATGTATGTGGGCCTTTGTGAGTGTGTATGTGTGTGTAAGACTGTACTGTAATAATTTTTAGTACTCCGAAATCGTGACTGAAATTAGAACTAACACAACAAGCCACCAAAAGGATTACATGGTTTGTGAATGTTTTTATTAATCATCATGTAGCCAGTCCTTGCAGTACACTTCTTGGTCTACCTGAAAGAAACGGTCTCTTGCCAGCTCTTTTGCTTGGTGCCCTTTCATACCCACGTAGTTACTTATATCATGTGCTTCCTGTGTGGGTTCTGGGGCCCCATTATAGGGAAAACAAGAATAGACCCACTGCCTACCCAAAAGCATGTCGTAAGAATCGACTAATTGGGGAGCTTCCTTTTGAAGTCGGAGTGCATCTGCCTGAGGCAAGGAACCAACAGTCTGCACACAATTGTGTCAGATTTGTCAAACAGATGCACACGCAACAATCAGGTTCTGGAACAGGACTACCTTCCACAAGTGGACAAACAACCGGAACTTTCCAGCAGAGCTTACAGCTGGTGAACACAAAGAAGAAAGAAAAAGATATCCTGTGCCAATCTTCGTTTTGGTCAGCTCCTGCTCCTCCTTCCTGGCATCATGCCTTCTGTTATTATTTTCTTCAGTCTGCCATAGCACTCGATATGGTCAAAATATTAAAGCTTCCATGACAAGATGGTGTTTATTATTTAGTAAAATCTTCCATGAGGTTTCCATTTTTCAGAATGTCAGCATTTCTTTAATTGAAAAAAAAAATCATTAAAATGTATCAAAATGCTGAATTAAGAATCAACATCTCAGCACTCAGGACACTCCCATAAGTGCTCAGTTAACATCTATCATTATATGCAAGTGCGTGTGTGAATGTACGAGTATGTGTGTGAATATGTATGTGTGTCAATTAGAAACCTGATGGGCTGGCTGGATTATGTTAATTAAATTATTAATATTTACACAAAAATAAATGTTCATTATCTTAAGAGTAAACTAGAATATACTCTCAGTTACAGACCAGGGGGGTTAACCGGGGTATTATATAAATGCATTACATACTTCGTGTAATATTTTAGTTACATTTTATTGCATAATTATAATCATGTATGTTACTAAAACAATTTATAAAGAATATTATGTAACTAATACTAATACATAGACCTATACTCCTCTCCATAACAACCACGAAGTGTTGAACAGTATTGACATAATTATAATTAATATAATTACCTATGTAAAATACATGTTTCAAGATATGTATTATTATCGTTTGGTTAATCAGACAAAGATACATGAAGATTTGTCATCTGACTTACGTACATCTATCCCCTGATCTGATGCAGGAAGATCTGAGTGAGCCAATTCCAAGTTCCTCAATGATTTTGTAGGCTCGGACGAGTCCATTCACATTTTGGGTAACTTTATATAGTAAAACCTTTTAACGAAGCCCGCTTTTTGCCATAACTGCAACTTTTACATTTGTATGCAAGCTAGAAATGTAAAATTATATTTAAGAAATATGAAAACATTTTTTCTGAGGGTTTATCTGTGTTTTGTGCAGTGTTTAAATTGTAAAAAAAAAAAAAAAACGCGCAGTTGCCCTAGAAAATAAACTGTTCCGTTTCCAGGAAAATGACGTCACTTGTCTCCAAAATGAAACAAACAGCAAAGAACAGTGTCATTGTATCGTTTCTTAATTATTGTTTTAAAGATAATGGTTATAAATAAATATTACAGTCAGAAAGAAGAATTTATTATAATGTCCAGCAGGCGTAATAATT